AAGATAAGGCGCCGAGCTTCTGAAAAGTAAGTCGAGGTTCGCTTCCTACCAAAGATGGCTTTTTTTATTTAATTTTTTTCGATTATTTTAAAATACAAAATAATTTTGAAGTTTTATAAAGATTATATACAAACATATGTAACGTAACGATATTATACACTTTCACAAAAAAAAAGATTTTAAGAAAGCTAAAATCTCATAAAACATCAACAAAAAAAAAAAACATTATCGGGATACAAAACTTGTTGCGTATGTATGATAATTGAGACACTTATGTTATTAATGTGCTCAAGTAATTAGTCCTTATAAGCTGCGGATGGTCTGAAAAAAAAGTTGTCTGAAACTTAATAAAGAAAAAACTATAATAAATAAATAAGAATAATAAGAAAATAAATAAGAAAATAAATAAGAAAGTATAAATAAGGACGTCACTTTATAGATTTTTATTTTAGTTTAATCAACATGAAAAACTGTTTATAATGTTTAATCAAACATGTAAATATTTGTTTTTAAGAAGATCATGCATGAGAATGTTTTTACTTTTATTTTTCAAAGGTGTGGCAGCGTATTCAAACATCATTGCAAGATAAAACAATTTTTTTTTTTTTTTTTTTTTGGAGGGGGGGGGGGAGGGATTAAATTGAAAACGCAATCATTTTTGAGCCAAAAATTGGCTCAAAAATGATGACGTCCTTTATAATTGGCCCCAAAACTATTTATTACTGTTGTAATAAATAAATAGTTTTGATCTCTTACTATAAATAGTAAAGATCTCTTATCCGTGAAAATAAATGCAAAAAGGAAACTTGAAGCATAAAGGTTTACTTTGCCACAAACTGACGTCTATGCCCAAAATCATTTTGGCTTAACTTTTAGATAAGCGTTTAATATTATTCTTTTAGTTCCTAATCATAAGAATTAATTTTTTTTAATGACATTTTTTTAGAGCTCTTAGGTCTTCTTAATTTCATTTGTATAGCATTACGTTCAAAATTATGTAAGTGTAAACGTCTTTATGTTGAGTTTGCAGGCATTTTATGGAATAATCGCGTATATCTGTATATCTATAAAACGAGAAAACTTGAAAATTTTATTTTAAATTTTAGAATTTTCGGCTAGAAATAGATATGTAAATTAATAAAGACCTTACGGATCCTGAAAGCTAGGATATGTAAAAAAAAAAATATAGAAAAGTTTGGTTTAGAATAGATATACAAAGACCCGTATTTTTACGGGGCTTATCTCAGCTACTATATATATTGCTCTGTTTTTTAAGAACATTGAGCACTTGATTACACTAACATAATTTATATATATATATATATATATATATATATATATATATATATATATATATATATATATATATATATATATATATATATATATATATATATATATATATATATATATATATATTAGGGTGGTGCTTAAAACAACTTTTTTGAGAAAAACCGTACCCCCTAATGTACTTTATCTAATACAAAAACACTAGGTTTAAAATTTTTTTGAACAAAAAATATTTTTAGGGGTAGGTCAAGGCCCTCAAAAATTTGACGGGTCCCTAATATTTTGAAAAAAAAACTTTTTCTAAAGTATGTCAACCTGGTACTCAAAATAAGCAAAATTATACAAAAAATTTAAAAATGAAAATAATTTTTTATAAAAATAATTTTTTCAGGTATAAATGCATAAAAACTATTGTTTTTAAGCTGAAAATGAAAAAAGTCAATATTTTCAGGTTTTTTGAGAATAATTTTTTTAGGCATGTTTTTTATGTAAAATGATTATTATTTTTGAAGTTTTTATATAATATCGCTTCTTTTGAGTACCAGGTTGACATACTTTAGAAAAAGTTTTTTTTTCAAAATATTAGAGACCCGTCAAATTTTTGAGGGCCTTGAGCTACCCCTAAAAATTTTTTTTGTTCAAAAAATATTTAAACCTAGTGTTTTTGTATTAGATAAAATACATTTAGGGGGTACGAGCAGGTTTTTCTCAAAAAAGTTGTTTTAAGCACCACCCTAATATATATATATATATATATATATATATATATATATATATATATATATATATATATATATATATATATATATATATATATATATATATATATATATATATATATATATATATATATATATATATATATATATATATATATATATATATATATCAGTAGCGTGGGGAGGACTTTTTTGTGTTTGAGATAGTTAACTTCCCGACACGGAGCAAATTTCAAACATTTTTATGTTTATACTTACGTCGAATAAGAATGGTTTGCAAAAAATTGCAATGATTGGAGCCTGGTAAACAAAAAAAAAAAAAACTTTCGCGCCCCCTCCCCTAAAAGTGAGAGCAAAATTTTTTTTGTTATTCTTAACTAGACTTATATTTATCGATACATTTTAAGTTTTATAGTATAATCTCTTAGCTTTCAAAAATTATAGACTATATAAAATTGGTGACCCCCTCAATTTGAAATGGATACAAACTAAACTTTGTAATTTTTGAACGTTGAGTTATTATTTTATGAAACTTAAAATTTATCGATGAATATAAGTAAAGTAAAGAGTAGTAAAATTAATCCTCTGTACGCTACGTTTAGGGGTGCACTATATGTATCAACAAATAGTGCACCCCTAAACGTTAAGACTCCGCTATTAACTACCTTAGAAATAAGCCAATTTACTAGATACCAACTTATGAACTGAATCAGGCTGTCTCAAAAATTAAAAATAAAAGTAAATTCAAAAATATAGTAAAATTTTGCTTACAATGATTACTGAAAAAAATGTAAAATTAATTGAAATAGCATTTAGTAAATGAATCTTTAAACCAGTCATTAATTTAAAAATGTTTAACTACTATGTTGGTTTACTATATTTTGCGTCAACAAACCAAATCGAAATGTTTAATTTTATTCCTGATATATAAATTTAGCTGCCGATTCCATTTCGTTTGTAAATTTTAGACTTTCTGCGGGTAACTGGCTTATGTCAAAAGGATAATCTTCGGTAATTCCATCTTTACTTTTTTTTTTAACAATCAACGGTCCATCTATCCATTCGCAACTGGTACTAGCAATTATGGGGCTCAATGCCATCTGCGTTATAAAAAGGCCGGCACCTAAAAAAGGACCAAGAAGCGGGTACGAAATTAAATTTAAGGCGTTTTGAACTAAACCATTAGTTATACTTCCACTAATACAACTCCAACCAAAGTTTGCTAAGACTACCTTCATTGCTTTAACTGATGCAGCAACCAATGGTGCCTGAATAAGAGAAATATAATCAGTAATTTTCTTATTAGCATGTTCAACTTGCAACTTCTCCTGGACTCTTTGGAGTATATTATAGCTGTACTCATTAATATATATTCCAGTTAATGTAACACTAGATCCACCATCACCTGGACAAGACTTTTTGAAATTCTTATTAAAGAAAAGGCTACCACTATTTCCACCATCACCTCCGTCTAATCCTTCCAATTTGTACTTTTCTATGAACTGTGTGTTAAAAAATAAAAGCTCTTTAAGTAAATAGGAAACTTTTTCACTAGTGCTTCTCTCAACCCATGTTCTACGGACTCGAGATACTAATGCAGCATCTTGTAAAAGTAAAGTTTTAGCTGCTTCACCTTCAGCATGCAAACATTCTTGTAAATTTTTATGTAGGTTGATTATTTTATCAAAAATATCAAGTAAAGGTTGAATTTCCTTAGCTTGTGTTTTTTTCCATTTTCTATATTCTATTATTTTATCATTATAGCCAATAGCCGCTTGTTGATAAGATTTAAATGCGTCATTTAACTTAGGAGTATAATATTCTGCTTGGTTAACATGTTCATGTATTGTTTTATATAAGTCATCGTTTATCAAGGCTTTATTCTGATAGATTTCGTGCAGTAAGATTATTGCACTGTCTATATCTTTTTCTGTTGCTAACGGTTTGTCGAATTCATCTTTAATACAATTCTCTTTCAAAAATTTTGAACATCGTTTCCTATTATCTTCTAAGTTTTTTCGGCATTTTTTTAAGTTTTCCTCAAAATCAGTTGGTGTTTCTTTATTATTAAACTTATTCAATGCGAGTTCTGCTTCCATAAATTTTATTTCAATATTAAGGAAAATATTTTCTTTAACTAGTGTCCGTAAGTTTTCTTCGTGTTTTTTATTTTCATCAGTAAGGTATTTTTTATTAAAATTGCTTAAAAAGTCACGTTTTTTTTGTGTTTTTTTTTCGTAGTTTTCTACATAATAATTAAAGTTATTTGATGAAGATAATAACTTTCCTCCTATAACTGCGTGTAAATCTTTCTCCATACGTTCTTTAGAACCAATAACATAGAAATTAATTTTGGCTAATATCTTTGTAAGTTCATCAGCTTTTTTTTGCACAGAATCATTGAGTTCCTCTATTTCATCACTGAAATGCTTTAGTTTTTCAAAATTAACACCACCTTTTTTAAATTTTTCAAACATGTTGTTATATTTAGCTTTAGTATCTTTAATTAGTTCTTGACATTTAACATACTGTTTGCTTTTTTCTTTGTAATTTTGCATTGGTTTTTCAAAAGCTTTTATCTGATTCTTTAATTCTTCTAGCTCATTCTCTTGCATAATTAACTTTGTTGATATATCGTCAATATATTTTTCAAATTCTTCAGATGTTAACTTTTTCTTTTCTTTATTTATATAAAATGTTTTTTTTTCTGACTGGTATTCTGTTATTAGAGGTATCAGGTTATTTTGTAATTCTTCTATCTTTTCTTGCAAGTTTTGTTTATTAATAACATTACATTCCTTTAATTCTTTCTCGATAACTTTTTTCTGAGCATTTATATTTTCAGTACTTGCTGAATTATCTAAACCATTTAGTTCTGTTACTATATCTTCTAAAGCAGCGGATATTACATTTAATTGATCGAAACATTCTTCGACGCATGAGGCATTATTAAACTTTTCCTTTAATTCTTTAACCTTCTTTTGAGTTTTTTCCACATAATTTTTATTGTTTTCATATTTTTCTATTTCAATATCAGCTTTTATTATTTTATCTAAAGATTTTTGCAAAGATTCTAATTCATTGGAAGTTTTTAATTTATTTTCCCTAATTTTATTTAAAATGCTTAAATTAACAGCACTTTTATATTCTAGAATTTTTTCCTTTTTCTTACTAATATTTTCTTCTAAACTTTTTTTTTCATCCACTTCAAGTCTTTTGTCTTTATAAGTATTCGAATATTTTGACAATTCATTTAACTTTTCTAACGCTGAATTAACTTCTTCTTTAAATGAGGCTAGATCATTTTGTATTTCACAACATTTTTTTGTTTTACAAATATTGTTTATTCTATTTAGGTATTCTTTTATTTCCTTTAACTTTTTAACCGATGTTGCGATAGAATTGGGTTTATTAATAAAATCGAATTCTCCATCAGCACCCTTTCCTCCTTTTATATCGACAGTGATTGTACCACCAACTAAAGAATCAAACTCTCCATAAAATTTCCCACCATTACCACCATTATCTCCTGGATTTATACCATTTTCGCCAGAAATATCTATAGTTTGATTAGAATCTAAAACTTTACACTTCGTTGCTTTTACATATAAGTTGGCCCCATTCATGACCGTTTTTACAATTAAATATTGAGATTTATATCTCCATACTACGCTTTTATCAACTAAAAATACCTTAGATTCTACCCATATAGAGTGAGGCATGTTATTTATTTCTAAGTCTGTCAGAAAATCATCAATTTCTGAAACACTTACAAATAAACCTTTTACAAATAATTGATCTTTTGAGATCAGTGTTGTAATTGGATTTGAAAACGTTTTATAATATGCGCTCAGTGTTCGTAGTTCAGCTCCCCACTCTGATATGTTAGCTTTTATAGTAATATTAAATTCGTTTAAAAATTTAAAACATTCTGATGCCATCTCAATATCTGCACCATATCCTGGTAAAAGCAATTCTGTTTGTTGTATAAGATTCTTTTTGTCATCAGATTCTTCAAATCTAAATTTTTTCTCGATATAGGTTTTTATGTCCATACCTTTTTTATTCGAAGTTTCAATTTCTTTGAGCAAAACCTTATTAATTTTCTGTGCTATGACTTTCATTCTGTAGCACATATATTCATTCAATACTAGACCAAGCTTTGTCATATCATCAGTATAAATCTTTGAAGTGATGTTTGTATTTATAGAAAATTTGCTAAACTCTAAGGTCTTTAGTGCATCTTGAACAGTTTGAAAATGGTTTGGCATTATCTTTTCACCTACTGAGTTACTTATTTTTTTCACAAATATTATTTTGTTTTTATAATCTTGATTTAAAAATAAATTCAAAAACTTTGATTTGCTATTTTTATTTTCGCGGAATGTAGACAAAAGAGATAAAAATTCTTCCAAGCAATTTTGTAAATCAAACTCCTCTGTTTTATTAATTATTAATAAAGAATTGTTTTTAACAGAATCTGCGTCAAAGCATCTATCTATGTGATCAAGAAAAGTTGAAAACTTGTCATCTTTTTCACCTAATATTGATGCAGAAACAATTATTACTATTGCACAGCAGTTCTGCGTAACTCGTGACAACGATCTTAACATTAGTGCATTATGTATTTCATATATAAAACCCCGACTGTCTCCTAAACCAGGGCAGTCGAAATAAGAAGTAGATTCTTTAATCCAAGGTTTAATTACTAATGTTTGAGATCTATAACTTTCATTACCTATTTCAGGATATTTTTCTTTTCCTTGAACGACTAAATTAATACTCCGATTAAAGGAAGTCTTTTTGTGACAAATCAAAGTGTTTCCTAATAAACCATTAATTATAGTACTTTTACCACTTCCAGTCGGACCAAAAAAAATAACATTTTTGTGCGTAATGTTTTCAAATAAATTAAATGACTCTTTTTTAATAATTAAAATTTTTTTAATTAAAACTGAGATTTTATTGCTGACAGTTGAAAAATATGTTGATAAATTTTTATTTTTGGCATCAAGAAAATCTTTAATTAATTCCTCGATTTTTGTTTGCAACAAATCAAAATCTTTTTTAAGTAAATAATTCATAAAGAAGTTAACACTTTCATTGTTTTGTACATCAGAAGTTAGAATATCTTTCATTAAAGTTCTCAAATGACGAGGATGTTGAACAACTTTGATTTCTGACTCTTTCTTGATATCGTCATAAAATTCGTTTATTTTATAACTTTTAAACTTTTCAGAAATGTAATCCTTGTCGACAAGGTCCGGTTGAATATCAGAGGCAAACTTCAAAAATTCCAGTGCAGAAGCGCATTTTATAGATTCTCTTGCAGTCTTTTGAATCGTAGAATTCAATGATAATTCGCCGTTTTCTTGAACTGAAGCGTAAGAATTTTTACATAAAATTGTAATCTTTTTTGTTATGTTTGTGGAATCCTTTACATTAATTTTTGGGTTTAGTAGAGCTATTAATTTAACCAGCTTTTCATCATTATCTAAATTATTTAAAGAAATGTTTTCAGGAATAAGTCGAACATAGGTTATATCTTCAGTACATTGTAAAACGTCATGACGAGTAGTAATAATAAATTTAATGCGTCCATTTTTTTCTAAAACTTCAAATATTTTTTTTATATCTAAAACATTGTTCCAATTTTCAACGTTGTCAAGAATGAATAGTACTTTTTGGAGGTTTTGTTCCAAAACAAAACGAAACATGTTAAGTGTCTCGTTTTGAGTTGCATGAGAATATTGTTTATCTTTAAATATTTTATCTTCTTCATTCCATATTTTTGATAGACTAAAAATCTTACCTGAAGATGTTTTCTTTGAGGAACCAGAGTTAGCCTCTTCAATTGATGCTAACTTTGATTCCTCAAAATTAGCATCAGTTGAAGCATCTATAAAAATTGAAGTAATCCTATTCTTATTTAATATAGCATACTTCTTGGCAAGTAATGTTTTTCCAGAACTAGGCATTCCATTTATAATTACTATAGAATTTGTGTGCAAAATGTTTTTAACGTTTTCTAAATAAGAATTCATATACAAGTTACTGTCTAAAGTACTTTCTATGTTTGAAATTAGTCGCTCTTTTTTATAACCGTCTTTCAAAAACCAATCCAATTTACGTCGGTGTATAAGTAATTGCACTTCATTTTTAAATTGATCGATGGTCATGGACTTATCAATTATGTGGAATTCTTCGGAAGCTTCAACATATTTATATTTAGTTGTAAGACTTAGAACTCTATCAGCAAGCTCACCTTGCATACATTGTATATATACATTATTTGTTTGAAGAAGAATTAAATATCTGCCAATAATTTTTTCAATATCATTTTTTTTTAGAACGCTTTTATTTTCCAAAGATACTTGATATCCTGAAACATAATGTAGCTGAAAACGATCTAATGAATCAGAAACTAAATCTTTGTAGTTACATTCTTTGTTAAGATACTTATGAGCAATCCAAAATTGCTCATGTTTAATTTTATTGTCACATAAGTCTAATGCTAGCTGTACAATGCTACCAAGTGTAGTTTGTCCTTGTTTACAATTTGCGGACCCTATTAATACATCATAAATCTTAAATACTAGTTCAGGAATCTGCCCTGCAATGCCAAGGGTTATTAAAAAACGTTTTACAATATCTTTTAATGATTGGTCATTTATTTGGTTGAAACCTTTGTGAGTAATAGAAGGCCAACTTTCTACTTTACTGTATGTTTCAGGTTTGTCCCGATAAAGCGTTCCAGTTTTAGGATCAAAATAATTAAGAATGTGTTTTAGGTCGTGTCCATAAGTTGAAAGTAAAGCATCACTCTTTTCTCTACTAATAATGTTTGTTAGGAAAGTAGAAATTTGATTTTTGATATTTGGATATAAAGTATACTTTGTACCACAATGCTTATTTAAACAATTAACTAAATTGGGTGCTGAAAAATATGACACAATGTTTAACTCTTTCTCATTAAATTTCTTAATTTCACATGCGCTAATTTTCTCCATCATTTCACGCGCACCTGGTCCATCAAAAGAGACAGTTTTAACATTAGGGTATTCTAAATCTCTACTACAATAAAAAGCACTCATTTCAGCAAGCCATGCGCCAAGAGAATGACCCGTTATAGAAAACGCGTACTCAGAGTATTTTAAATGAGTTTTTATAAGTTGTACTGCGGCATCAGTTGCAACGTATCCAAAGGCCTGATGTAATAATATTTCTCCCATAAATAAACCAGCAATGTCTTGGTGCAAACCTGATTGTTTGTATAAATTGGAAGTGTTTAAACTTAACTTAAAGTTGGTAGATCTATGTGCAAGCACTAATTGTCTTCTTTTGTCATTAGCATACAAAATACCAAGATATCCAGTTTTTTCGTCATCTATCAGACCCAGTACTTTCCAAGCTTCTAAATAATTATTAATATTCTTCAAGTTTGGAAAATCAGCTGCCCTTTTATCTGAGATAGCTACGTTATTTCCTGGCTTTACGGTAGAGTGTCCTGCAATAAAACCAGTTTCAGACCCACAATGTTCAGCTAGAAGGCCATGCACTAAATCTGTTGGATACACTGTGTCTTCTTCGTAATCTCCTATTAATGATAAAGCGTTTTCATCCCATTTAACATAGTTATTTTTTTTCCATAAAGTGTTTTTTAAAGTATTTATATCAGTGTTTTTTTCAATTTTATTGGATTCTGTTGGATAGATAATAATTTTCATATCATTTGTTTCTTTTATTTCAATATGATTTATTATAGAAGACGAGGAATGCATTTTAGAATCTTTTACAGAAAATTGACTAAAATTATTTTCGTTTACCTCCTCATTAAAATTCTTTTCAGCTGAAAAGTTAAGTTGTTCGTTTTCGATATACTTAGGTTGGCTAATGGCAAAAAAGTGTTTTATATGTTCATCTTCTATTTCGGAAAAATCAACATAAACAAGTCTTTCTTTGACGATAACATTAAACTTTATTTTTTTAATAATACTTACAAAGTCATTTTTTTGATCTTGATATGGTTTAATGGCTGTGCTAGTAACTTTTTTTAACACGTGTTCTAAGTATGATAACTTTAAACTGCCATTAACTTGATTTGCATTGCAAAGTGTTTTAATCCCAGTTTCACTATGATTAATTTCAGAAAATAATTCTTGTATTTCTTTTTTCAGACAGCCTTCTAAATATTTCCAAGAAAATATTTCATTTCTAAGAAGATAGAGCTCTGCATATTTTGGATTCAGAAATTCAAAAGTCGTATTATCATAAAGACTTGCTCCTTTTGCCAAAACCTCCATATTATATAATGCAAAAATGCCATCAGAAGAATTATCCAGTTGTTCTTTGACACATCCTAGATCTAATTGATGTGTAAAACAAAACGGAAACGCTTTCAACACAATGTTCTTAAAATCTGCTTGTTCCAAGTTGTATGAATCTTTATAATAGCAGCGAATACTATCAGAGTATTTTTCGATAGCAAAAGCAATCCAATGATTGTTGTTTGACTTAAAGATGCCGACTACTTTTTTTCCGTTTTTCAGATCAACATCAAATGCAACTCTATCAACTTCGATAGGAGGAATGTATATTACATTTGAATAATTAGAGCATATTGAACTACCGATATATAAAATGTCATGACTCTGGTAGTGATAACTTGTATTGCTTTTTTCGTTATAAGCATTTTGACTAAAAGTTTCAGTTTCGTTTTTTTCACACATATTCATTTATTTTTTACAATTTTAACAGTCGGTAATAAAAATTGTAGTGCCCGTGTACAGTTTATAGATGTAAAAACCACAACTGAAAAATAAATGTAATAAAAATAATAACACTAAAATAAACAAAAATAAAAACACTATTTAACTCAAAGTAAAAATCTAAAAAAGTTGTCAAGTATTAAAAATTTATAATAAATTTTATCCAATAATAATACATTTATAATGCAATAAAAAAGTTAGTAAAGTTATTACATCATTACATGTTGAGCTTTTCAGAAAAGTATAATTTTAATATTAGAATTTAAAAAAAAAAAATTATTATCAAAAGAATTGAAAAAAAAAAAAAAACGAAAACAAAAATAAATCTAAACTTTTTTTATATAGCCTTTATGTGGAATCCAAATAAAGTGTTTAATTCTTTTTGATAATAATTTTTTTTTTTACATTGTAAATAAAGGAATGTACATTTTTGTATGGTTTTTATTTTGTGTAACAAGTGTTAGTTGATTTTTAAAACACAGTCAGTTATTTAAGTTGCTTATAAATGTTTGTAAATTTAATTATTTATTATATAAATGTTACATAATCATAATCAATGTATTATACATAATCATAATCAATGCTAGAAATTATTCCACAAATTTTATTCATTTATTCAAATTTAAAAAAATAAAAAACATTGATTGAAATAAAGTTTGTGCTTGCATAGTTTAAGGTGTGACAATTAAAATAATTAACATTTAATTTGTGAAATTTTCTCAAATAATTGCATTTATGGTTTTTTAGGTTTTAGCAATGTTAATAAAAACTTCCGAGACATGGAAGTTTTTTAGAAAAAAAATGTATTAGTGGTGAAGCCAATATGGAAAGTGCAACTCAATGTAGAATAAAAATGTTCCACTATAATTACTTATATGAAAGTACAAAATACTGATAACTAAATCTGGGTCAAGTAAAAAATATGGAGAAAATTAGGGTAAAGTGGAACTGTGACTACTGACTATTTGATTGTGACAAACATTGACACATCTTTAGAAAAAAAATTTTTAGCTGCGACAAACTAAATTTAATTTTTCAATGTGTTTACCAATGTTAATGCTTCCATAAAGTGATGAAGAATTTAATTAGTTATCTAATATTATTGATAGATAATTAATTTTGTTTTTGGGATTCAACAGTCAATTTTACCCCTATATGGGGTACCATTGATCGTAGTGTGTTTTATGATGTTAATGTTAAATTTACATCATGAGGGGTAACATTATCATTAAAGTTTTAAAAAACAAAACAGAGAAAACATTTTAATATATATTGGCACCAACCTACATTTTCGTTTAAAAATAAGCAGCATTAAAAAGTTATAAAATTGTAAAAAGTTATAAAATTTCAAGTTTTATTATTTTTTGAAAGAAATCAATTAGCTTTATTTCTGATAGTGTTTACTTAAAAATGTAAAAAAGCATGTTAATTTATGATTAACAATTTTTGTCTAAGAATTGTCAAACTATTCAGCTCTACATCACATTAATGACTCTATATCTGATATTTGTAATTTTCGCTGTAATTTTTTGTTGGATTTCTTCGTTACAAATTTTTTTAGTGTTTCGTTTAATTTCAGAAACGACAAGATAATTTTTTACTTTTTTAGGTTTTGATGTTTTGTTCTTATTTATATTATACGACATTGTTAAGTGTGGATTTTAACTTTTTGCAAGTGTTGGTTTTTAGATTTGTTAATATTTGATGTATTGGTATATTTCTTTTTTTTTGTTTTAAATTTACTCTTTTTATTTAGGATTTGATTTGTTTAATTATATTTCATGTAAATGTAAAATATTCATTAGATGTAAGATACTCCAACAACTTTTGTTTGATTCTTGGCCCATAGGGTACTCATATCTCACTTATTTTGCTGTCGGCATAACCAACCTGTACATATTACAAAGTAGAAAAACAAAATGAAGAACAAGAAAGAACTTTTACGGCAAACCAAATCAGTTCAAACAGACAAGTAATTTTGTTTATATGAGATTCAATTTACGATATTGAAAATAATTACCCACAAAATAGAACGACTGTATACATAAATGTGTATATGCAAGAAGAAAAAGTATGCTACCAATAACAAAATAAAAAGTAAAGAAGGAAAATAATTCACTAAAAACTATGGACATGGAAAACTATGAAAATGGATATGACATATGAACACGGATATTCAGAAAAATAAACTTCTTATAACTAAACAAAAAAATCAAAAAACTCAACCATTAGATTACTACAAGCACCTAAATCACCATAAACACTCAACCATTAGATTACTGCAAGCACCTAAATCACCATAAACACTCAACCATTAGATTACTACAAGCACCTAAATCACCATAAACACTCAACCATTAGATTACTACAAGCACCTAAATCACCATAAACACTCAACCATTAGATTACTACAAGCACCTAAATCATCATAAACACTCAAATAAAAAAATTCAAAATGTTTAATATTAAAGGTTTTCAAATCCAAACAGTTCTCTACGACAAGACATTACCATACATTTGAATTTCCGTATTCTTTATACCTTATTTTTATTGATATATTCATTTCTATATATATACATTTTTTTTTCTATTTTATATATTGTATAAATATATACAATAAATGTAACATATAGAAAAAAAGAAAAAAAAAAAACCTAAGCATTCCTGTCAATGTTACCCCAAAACTGAAACATGCGTTTAAAAAAAAAAATGCTACAAAAAAAATTTAAATGCTTAGTATTTAGAAACAACATTAAAACACATGTAAAAATAATATTATGTATGGTTTACTTATTTTTTGACTAAATTTTTTCAGAAACATTGTCAAAAGTTGCAGATGTTGATGAAATATCGACCATAGCAATGAGTAAATCTCCGACTATTCATTTAGAACATCCTTAAAACAATTGTAATTTTCAATCAAAACATTTAAAAATTCTATATCATTAAAAAAAAAAGGTTTTATTTACATATTTATATATTTAATATTATATAAATTTATTTTTGTTAAAATTAAAATAATTTATTTTGATTTAATAGAATTTATTTTAATTTTAAATGTCATAATTATTTTAAATGGATGGAAAACCCGATATATGTGTGTATATACATACATATATCATACATATGTGTGTATATATACATATAAATATATATACAAATATATATGCACATATAAATATATAGTATATACATACATATATCATATATATATGTGTATATATACATATATGTGTATATATACATATATACATGGTCGTAGAGTACTCAAATTTCCAAGAGGGGAATAAAGTTGAAGATTCGATTTTTTTGATCAATGTATGTCTACTGTCCATTTTTTTTATTATTTTTGATATAAAAATAAAAAAAATAACAACTTTTGATTTTGGTTAACAAGCATCACGAAATTAAAGTAAAACAAGTAGAGATGGAATTTTACTTGGTTTCCAAATAAAACATTCTACGGCGCGTTTTGTTTTTTTCAATAAAAAATATCAAACAAAAAATCCATTTTAAGACTCGGGTAATTTCTTTATGGGTATTCTTTACAGAAACAGCGTTCAGCCTTTCCTGGCTCATGGTTGATTGAAGAAAAGATTTTGGTCTACGCAGACTACTAAATGATGGTTCTGCTAAACAAGTTATCACTGGCTGGACCAGAACTATTTTAATAAAACGGACAATTACCGAGGCAATGCTTTTCAATCCATTTTTTTCTTTAGCGCCGATGAAATCTAGAACTGATTGAAATTCTTTTAATTAAACTTTTTTTTTATTATTAGACTTGTCAATGAAAAGGTCCTGATGAAGCTTGTTCTTTGATAATTAGGAAAATTGTATTTGTAAAAGTTTTTTATCTAGTCGATACTGCCAGTGGCGTACCAACGGGGTATATATTTCGTATATAAAAATAATTACATATAATATATGGGTGACACCCTATTTGCTGCCCCTGGTGACACCATAACTAGGAACGCCACTGGATACTGCATTCAGTTTTATTTGATCTAATCACAAACTCTTTATTTGTTGTTAAATGACGAGTGATTTCAATTGATTCAAATCTATCAATGAGGCCGACTAAAACTGCATTTAAACTAAAAAAGTATAACTGGTTGTAGATCTTATTTTGACTGGTAATAAGTATCCCAGAAGCCAACTTTAAATCTTGTAACCAAATCTGCTAAATCCATCGTTTTAGCAGATTTGGTTGCCGCATAAAAAAGTGTTTTGAAACGTGACTCAGAACGCAAAGAGCCTTTAAAGAATTTAAACTGTGAGCTCTGCATTGAACATAAAGGGCTCTGTTTTCTTGTTAAAGAACAAGTTTTTGTAAGCCAGCTGTTTCAGAAGACATGGCAGCAGCTCAATCATAGGATTGTTTCCAACAGTTCTCGAGCCTTGAGTTTGAACGAAGAAGGACGTTTTTCATAATAAAAACTAATTCCTTGCTTTTAGTTGTAGCTACCAGATAAAATCCACAAAAATACTCATTAATTTGGAACTCATCGCCCACAGTACGGAAGGGTATCGATATCTATACAGTTTAAAAGTTCATGAAAATTATCAAAGGTAAATGCATGGTCCAATAAATTGTTGCTTTGGCTAATAATACCAGCTCTTTTACATCTGTTAAAAAAGTAACACACTTTTTAACAGCTGTTGTCAGTTATTTTTTATAATACTTTATATAAATATGTAAACCTAGTAAAACTCCGATTTAAAATTTTCTTTTAATTCTAAAAAGAAAGACTGAAATTTAAAACGTCCGTAGTAGACGTGTTTGAAGTCTTCATAACGTCTTGACATGAAGCAGTCGTCAAGTGAACAAACCGTTACTTTGAAATTTGCATAAAATAAGCTTCATTACCGTAAAGTCAAGTCCACTAAGATACCTTGTCTAACTTTAAAGATTTTTTAAAAAATTTTTAAAGCTTTCTTCAAAGATTTTTTAATTGATACTTTCTTTTTATTTTAATCTGAAATCTAATAAAATTAAAATAAAATCTGCACAAAAACGAAAACGTCGCTAAAAAAATTACATTAAAGCACAAGTATACATCGTGAAAAAAATCTTGAATTGAGATCAAAAGACTTTTTGAAGTTTTATTTTATCGAAAAAACGTATTTTTATTTGAAAAAAATATTCCCTCGTTTGTCAAGTTATCCAAGTTCTTATCTTAAAAACGTTTTTTTTTTAGGGTATGTTTACAGCAAAGGATTATTTATTTCTTCGCTTTTTACGGAAAAAACTTAATTTCTTCCTCTGATTTTTTCAAGTTTTAAAAAATAAAATTCGAAACTATATTTTTTTAAGATAAAATTTCAAGGGAGGCAAACGAATTTTAAAGGGGGGCAAGGTTAACTTAAGGGGAAAGCCCGCCCCCGTTGCACCCCATACTCTACGCCTAAGTATATATATATATATATATATATATATATATATATATATATATATATATATATATATATATATATATATATATATATATATTCAGAATCCACCTTCAGATTTCTTAATCCAACTTCAGATTTTTATATTCTATCTAAATGTATAAAATCCTTAATGAAATTGAATCCAATTTGATCCAGGTTCAGAAAATCAAATTTATACGATACACAACCTTGTAAAAGTTTTCGCACATTTTAAAACTAACAAACTTTTGAGCTGTTTAACCATTATAATAATTTAAGCCTAAATTAAATTGTTTGGAGGAGAAGAATTAAATAAGTTTAGACGCAATATAAAACTCATTTTTAATGTAAACAAAAAAATAATAATAAATATTAAAAAAGGAGAAATTTTCCTAGCAAACATTCTATAGCGGAATTTCAGGCATATCTAATAGACATTTTGAGCCGTCCACTGCAGTTTTGATAATGATTACTAGGTAGACCATTAGAGGCATCCATTAAATATGGCTAGCCAATGACTAGCGACTATTAACATTTTGGAAAGTTATCGGCCGGCCATTTGTAGCGACTTCCATTAATGGTCCACTAAGCAAACGATGAGCAAAACTTTAATAATCCGCTCAAAATTGTATTCAAAGGTCCACTACAAATTCACTAAAACAAATTTACTGGGTTGGTTTAAACTTCAGCGAAATTCTTTCAAGACCTAATAAAAGCAAATTTTCCTTTAAAAATATCATGGCCGGTTTTTTTCGTAACAACATTGCAAGCTAAAAAGCCATAATATCTTGCAGTCAACTAGCTTTATATTTTGTAGTTAGTTGCATACTTACAATCTGTAGCTATTGATATGTCGTAGGATTATTGATAGCTACAAAGCTACAATATCTAGATTGCGACATGTCGTAATAAAATAGCAAATTTAACACTTCAATCATCATAAAAATATTAGATAAAACACTGAAAAACTATGTGTGTGTATATATGATATATATATATATATATATATATATATATATATATATATATATATATATATATATATATATATATATATATATATATATATATATATATATATATATATATATATATTTAACATCATAAAAATATAAAATTAAACACTGAAATGTTTTCATTATGTTTATCAGGTAAAATAAAAAAATTTTTAAAGAGTTTTAAGAATTGAGTAATTCTAAAAAAATATGTCTAATTAAGTAACTTACCATAGTATGTAAACTTTATTTCAATTAGAATCAACGATAAAATTTCAAAGAGAAAGCTTGACAACCTTTGTAACGAACGTGACTTTAATAAATAATTTAATGTACATAATGTGTATAAATAGTCATAAAACAAAAATCGAAACGGAATGACAAAATATAAAATATTGGTATAAAATAATATAACTTAATATTACCTTAAGAAATGCAAATTTGTAATACTTTTATAACATTTGAATGTTGTTGTACATTTCTACTTTCGAGTTTTAAAAAAAAATTAGTATTAATTCTTTTATTAAAAAAATTTAAAAACCCCCGTGATAATATTAACCTCTTTTTTCAATATTTGCTGTTTGGAGTTAATAAATGGTTAATCTCTCTTTTACTTTAAATTACTCTTCTCCACTCTTTCACTTTTGAAAGCTTTGTTATTTTCGTTATAATTGTTTAAAAGCTTATCAAAAAAAAATGCGAAGTATAGAAATATAAATATACTAGCTGTCTTGGTTATATTCATATTTCTATCATTCACATTTCTTTACATTTAAACTGGTCATAATTTGTCTATGCTCCATCTACCATTTGTATACTTTCATTTTGAATCAATATATTTTCTGAAATACTTGGTATTACATTTCAAGGTTGCTTACAAATAGTATAAACTACTAATATTAAGTAAACACCTAATAACAATGATTAAAATAGTTATAGTAATAATAACAATAAAAATAATGATAAATAATAATAATAATAACAATAATAATAATAAGAATGTTGAAGGAACGATTTTTGAATTGATAGGAACGATTTCCGAAAGACATAGGAACGATTATTGAAAAGCGTAGGAACGATTTTTGAATAGGAACGATTATTGAAAGGCGTAGGAACGATTTTTGAGTACGCGCATTGTAAAGCCGTATGGGCTCTTTGATTTGTTTATATTTTTGCGTAACTAAATTATATTTGGTAATTCAACGTAATAATCGAAGAAAATTCTGACAAGTTTTAATTTTTAAAGCATTAAAGCCTTGGTAAATTAACATTTAATAATGTATTCAAATGTAAGTAATGATGCTCTTTAATATTTAAAATAATTTACTATTGTTATTTTTGTTTTTATATATATACCTTGGACTTTACCTTAGACCATAGTTTAAGGAATTGTTAAAGGTATATATAGACTATATTATAGTCTAAGGTATATACCTTAGTACAAAGGTACTAAAGCTTATTAGGTCTTTTTTTAGTAACTTAACTTTATTATGAAAAGGTTTTATTAATTATTTATTATATATCTACTATTATTTGCAAACTTAACATTGTATAATTTACGCAAAAGCACTAGGAAAAGGATTTAAATTATGATGTATTTTTTAAAATAAAGAAATAGCTCAGCTAAGTTAAAGCAAAATTTTAAATAGTCTCATAGGTTTTATGCTATCATTAATAAAAAAAAAGTTTGTGCTACTATGGGTAAAAAAAAATATAATATAGTTATGTGGGATAAAATTTTTAAAATTTTTTAGTAAATTTTTGACATAGATTTGTTGAAACAACTGTGACTAAATTATGGATTTTTCTTAACTTAAAATTTCATAACTTTGTCAATTCTTATCAACTAAATTTTGTAATCTTATTATCTTCAATGAGAAAAATATGTCAACTCAAATTTGTTTTCTTATTCTCTTCTGTGGGATAAATAATTTTTTCAAGCAAAAAATAACTGTTATTTATCTTAATATTAGCATTATATTTAAATTTTAATTGCTTACCATTTATTTTAAATGTCTTTGACAAATACGCTTATTGTCTTATTATTATTTTATTTTTTTTCAGGTCTCTTTTTTTTGTCCTTAAAGGGTTTAATAGTTTAATGCATTTGTGCCATAAACTGCAGATGTCAAAGGTTTTATGTTAAGTAGTTTTTCAAAATAACTCACTATTGTTTATAATTATAAAAGTATATACCTATTCTTAACACTTCCAGTGCTGTTGGCTGTTCAATCAATATTTATTTATGGAGGTAGTGCAAAAGTGAAAATTAAATAATTTTTAGCTTTACCATTAAAAAAACAACTTCTTTTTGGGTCACAAAACACAATAAAAAAATGGTAACTTGGAATTAAAATAAAAACAAAAAAAAAACAAAAAAAAAAAACAACAACTGATAAATTTAGTTATAGATATTAGTCTATTATTGACTTTTCTTAAGACAATGAATAACAAGTATTTTATATGACCTATACCAAATACAGATATAAAAAATATAGATATCTAAACACAAATAACTCATTGTTAAACTATAACAATTGACAATCCTAGATTTATCTATAGGCAGACATCTAAACAAGCTGTGGTTAAATTATGGCAACTAAATAATATATGCATGATTAGGATAAAATCTAGTGAAATGAAAAAGTGACATGAAAAAATTCTGCACCTTTTTGAAATAGGGTTCCAAAAAGCAATTTGGCCTAGGGCCCCAATGGGAGTAAATCCGGCCTTGACAATAGAATAAGTTTTACTAAAAAATCAAACAATAAGTTACATGTCAATAATTCAGTCAATCTGTTATTGAAATGTCAAAAAAATCATTAAAGTTCTCAGATTAATGACTAATTTAAATTATTAGGTTATGGACAAATTTAGTTAAAAATTTACCTTATTTAAATAATGTGTAAGGAATACACTTAATAAGATAAGGATAAATGAATACTTAACTTTTACTATATTTCAAATAATATTTCTGATGTTTTCAATTATTAAAGATTTGTTACAATTATTTACAATAAAATAAGTAATAAAAAATAAAAAATTGCATTTATTTACTACTTGATAGCAATAATTTAATTGTTGAAAAATCTTTTATTTCTTCTTATTAAGTCAAACTTGTGTGGTAACAACATAAACAAATGTGCCCTCCCCTGGTTTAATTTGGGTTGGTTTTGCCAAAAATATATACCCATATAGAGCATTCTAAAAATGTACTTGCGCATCCAAATTTTTGGATGAAATTTGGCATGCGGCAAGAAAATTTTTTTTTTAACAGTTATAAACTGTTTTAAAAAAATTAACTAACATACCTTAGCTAAAACCTTGAGGCTTAATCAACAACAAGTTTTTAAAACACTAAAGTTTATAAAAAGTTTAACAATTATAAAAAAACAAGACCCAGAAAAAAGTTTAACTATTCTTCTTTTTAAATAATATTTAAGTTGATATCAAATTCTAAAAACTAAAGACCACTAAACTCGTTAAAAAACATGACACTGATTTAGGCAGAAAAAAAACGTTTCCATAAAAGTTGAAATAATGCATACCTAATAATAGCATATAATTTAAATAACAACAATGTTGTTGTCAATATATGTCCTTATCTCACAAACAGGTATTTATTTGCTAATTATTTATTTCAAGTAAAATAAATTGACAACAACAATGCTATTTTTTTTAAATAGTACATTTTAAAATTTTTAATTCCAAAATCTGTTTTTAAAATTAGCATTGAAATATATTTAGAAGTTATATAGTAGTAATATATATATTGAGGAAAAAGTTAGACTTGACTTTATAAAAATATCACTGAAATTTTGACAGTTGTTGTTGTTGCTATATATATAGGGAAGAAAGTGGGTACAAAGGTTTCTGAAAATATAAATTCTGTTTTCCTACTATGCAATGAAATTGTTTATTTTATAAACAAAAACCTTGCTTTATAGAGAAGAAATCATGAAGTCAATATATTAACAGAGGAATTAAAATATTTTCGTGCTTGTAGTCAGGAAAACGAATTTAAAAAAGTTTTTATTGATAATGTAATAGGTTAGTTAGATCTTTTATTTTATTTTAAATTTTGACAAAAGTTTTATGATCAAAATTTTTGTTGTTGTTGTTTAAATTTAAGTTAAATGCTGATTTAGGATATGGAGTTTTCACTATACGAGAGTTTAAAGCTGGCGATCCTTTGTTAGAGTATAAAGGAAATCTTATAACAAGAAAAGAAGCTAAAGAATTAAGCAAAAGTTATTCTGCAAAAAATAAAGGATGCTTTATTTTTGATGTTTACTGGAACAATAAAAATATGAGGTATCTTTTATAGCTTAATAGTAAATAAATAATGTAAATAAAAAAAAATATGCTACTGTTTAAACCTAGTTAGTCCTTAAAAATGTGTACTGATAAGTTTGAAACATTTATATAGTTTTTTCTTGATATTTTAGACAAACTTCAACATTAAGATGGTACCCCAAAAAATATATTAAAATCTGATTGGAACTAGAGCACACTTTCATTTTTACAACATAAATACGTAATTTTCAAAAGTTCTATCAAACTTGAAAATCATTGCCTCGATTACCCCCAAAAAATTGAAAATAATTGAATTTTTGTGAAGTAATCACTCAAAATCTACTAGTTATTTTAACATGAAATTTGGAACATTTTTGAATTATGGAAATATAATTCATTTGAAGAGAATAAATGAAAAAAAATGAATATTTTAGAAGTTATGCATGAAACACTAAAAAGTAAGCGAGCTAAACAACACTAATATAACAAAATTTCAAGATCTAAAATGCTTTGAAAAAAAATCTTTTCTCAAATGAATTTTTATAATATGAAGAACAATCTGTGAAAATTTCAGCACTTTTGCATAATTATTTAAAAAGTTCTCATTTGGCAAATTTTGTAAACTAGTGGAAAAGTATATTTTGAGATTTAGTGATATAAAAATTAAAATTACTCAAAAAGCATAAAAAAATTATAATTTAAAATCCTCCAGGTTCATATGATATTTTTTCAGTTTTCTTAACATTTGTTTGAGTATCCTTTTTTAATACTTTTTTTTTTTTTTTTTTTTTTTTTTTTTTGATACTTAGGTTCTAAATATAATTTTTATTTCAGTTTTTTTTCCAGTTTTTGTAGGATTGGTTTATTTTCTAATTTTTTCAATTAATTTCAATTTGTTCTTACGATTCAATAATTTAACTTCTTGTTTCATTTTCTAATTCAGTTATTATTTTACTTCTATCAAATGTTTCAGCAATTTTTTAAAAGGTATAACTTATTAAGTATCAATATAAAAGT